ACATGACGACGCCCTGAACGTGTTTTTTCGACTGAGTCTGTGGTTGCGAGATCACCGACTTTTAGATTATTTTATTTTAATACATAAGCCATGGGTACATCTGGGGGGAAAAGACCTGTTCGCAATCTGGAGTCATCTGGGGTGTCGGCATTTAAATCCACCAACAAGTAACCGAAAGGTTTTTTTAGTAGCGTCCTCGAACGCTTCAGAAAAAAATGTGGCTTTACCGGGGTACGTCTGCCGGGACAGGGTTGTAATCTGTAGTTTATCTCTAGGGTTTTTAAACAGCACCATGTACTTTGTATTTAACGCTATGGTTCTACTTTTCCGGCCTTCACAAAACACAGTTTGGACGATATACATGATGCTGAGGCTTTGGTGGTGTACTGTACGTACAGTATTTGGTAAAAGCTTTTTCTATCTCATTATTTTCACACTCAGACTCCATCAAATCATCAACTATAATCAAATTTACTCTACCCGGCGGCAGTAGCTGGTCGTCGGAAAACGACGTCGGTAGTCCTTCTATAAACTGAATGTATGGAAATTTCACAAGCAACTCAGCGTATAGAGGTTGTCAGCAGCTGTAACACCAGACTATGTTTTCGGGTTTACGAGTCGTAACGGTATCACCGTTCTCCAAGAGTTGTTTTATAAAATAACTTTTACCGCAATTTGAGGGTCCGGACAAAATGCATGAAAAAGGGTGTTTTAACCTGACATCCATCGTGTTAATATCTGTAGGGCAACAATGACTAATTTTCTTGCAGCACCCGCTTGTCGTACACCACCTTCTGGGTTTTCTTTAAGGTCCGGGTCTCAATGCGCCAATCCTTTTTAACACGCGCGATCATCGGCTGTTGAATAGAAATGTTTAAATTCCCGGCACTCTGCATAAGGGTTAAAGCCATAGTCAAAAACCAAGTCCCGCAGACTCTCAAAGTTAACTTTTTCACAATTGTTCACATTGAGCGTAATGCCTTTCACCTTTAAACAGGCTTAACACAAACTCGGTCATGTGTTGTCCAGCATCGATTTCGCTGGTCAGCTCACCCAAATAGTCACCCAGCCCCGGATTCCACTCACCCTCCCGGCTCACAAAGATAACGGAATCTGTGTCGTGGTACAGACAGCGGCCTTGCAAAGCATTTAGCAGATTGTATAACTCCAAGCGGGCATAGGCAGTTGTAAAGCTAGCAATGAAAATGTTAGTGTTTGAATGGCCTGCATAGTGGTGTTTAGTGGGTTTCCACATAACACAGGCTGTGTTTTCATCGATAAACTCGCAGGCTGACACCTCATGATATGGCGTAAATAAGTACCTGAACAATTCATCGGTGTTTCTCACAATGGTGGTCTGTGGTAAATTGTCTCTTTTGCCCATACTTGCCCCACAAACTGTTCAAAGCAATTTTTGAAAGCTGTCTTTTGGCCGGATTCTTTTTAATGTTGCCGGGGTCCAGCTGGACACCCTCTTTTCATAATATTCGCTGCTATATCTATGTTGTTTTGCGACATCTGGAAACCCGAAGCTTCCCGTTTCCCTTTCAGATGCATTTTGATGTAGTCAGAAAAAAGATCGTGTGAAATGCCAAATTTAGTAAATTGTACACACTATACTCCAGATCTAAGGCCATCTGTAATTCAGGGGTGCACCAGACACCAGTCAAGGCGCGATCTTCATCACTGTGCTCGCAGGGAGTGGTCTGTTTTGTTTCAGCACACGTACAACACAGTGTGAAAAACAGTTTTTTGTCAAATTTGGTTGGAAGAACTGGAAAGTACAAACGTCTGGGTGGGTAAACTTTCACCTTCGCTAAGCCGAAATACCATTTTAAATCTCCAAAGTTGTTATATATTATTCGGGGGTGCCCCAGTGGGTATTTTTTAGTTTTGTTCACAAATGGATACAGACTGGTGAAATCATAGTAATGATTTTTTTCACCGGGCTGCGCTGTGTAATGCAAACAAATAGCATTTGTTCTCCCCCCAAAAAGCAAATCACGTGGTTGCAGAGGCTCTGGTAACTGCGCAGCTGTTAGAAATTTACCCAAGTCTCCATTTTCAACAAGCATGTCTCTGAACTCGTGCTCCCACAAAACTTGCACGTTAAAACCTCTCATTTTTAGAAAATTAATTTTCACCATCGTCTTTCTGTACAACCAACCAAAAGTAGTGTTTGTTCGCGGATTAAACTCGTTTTCACAATAACAAACACTACCACCGTGAAAAAAGCAACCGTTGAACTCAAAGGCTGTCTCACCGGCCATGGTTAACACGTGTTGGATTTTAATGGGCTCTGTGTGTTTGATGTACATAAGCCACTGAATGCTGGGTGTAGAAAATCGTTTTTGCTGGCAGTGGTAATTGTCATGGGGTAGCAACGCTATCGTCTCTTCCTGTAAAAACATAAGTCTGAACATGGCCATGCAGACACTAGCGATGGTCACAAACTGAAAGGGGTCGATGCACACAACGCAGGCGGCCCCTGACTCACTCACGCGTGTCTGTCTGGTCATATTCATGACCTCGTCCCGAAACCTGACACAGCCTTCTCTTAGACTTGCCACATCCAAATGGCAGTAACGTTTCAACTCTCTCTAAGTTAAACACACTTCCCTTGCAATCTTCATACCAAACCAAAAACTCGGCTTTTTTGCTCGGCAGAAGTGTTCATCAAGTGTGGAAAATGACCCCTACCCCCGGGGAACCCCATGGCTGCCGGCAGTTTGCTTAATTTCATAGGTAGAAAGTTTAGAGAATCGATAAATCTGATGTTCAGAGCTTTTACGGTCATACACATTATCTTACCACCCTGATTTAATTAGTTCAATGTCCATCTTTTCATCTAACAACTGTCTGATTACTAGGTAATTGTCATATCCCTTGCCATTGTGCGATATGAACGTATATCGATAAATTGACACACAAAATCCTTAAGACAAGTTTCACCATAAAATTCCCAGCTTCGTTTATTGTTAATATGAAGGGCGTGGACGTAATTTGGTATGTGTGTTCCCGTTTCTTGCATGCATTCAAAGTCTAAAAAGATGTACATGTTTGAAATTTTGGGGTTGTCCAAAGGCGGTATGTAGCACAAATGTGTGTGAGGGGTGTCGATCACATTGTTACAACGCGTGCACAGTTTCTCTTTACATTTGTGACTTGCGAGGTTATAAACCCCACATTTCTCACAAAAGACCCTGCGCTCATACTTACTAACACCCGTCGCCGCATTCTGAAAGTGTCTCGCCAAACACTGAGTGCTACGACAAAAGACCTTACAGACCGGGCAATTCTGAATTTCTGCATCAATTTCGCAACACTGGGGATCTAAACAGGTTTCACAAGCTTTAACACAGGCTTGTGCATTCTTGTGGCTATACGCCGCATGGCAGTTAGTGCAAAAATACGCTGCCCCCACTAAAGCTTTAATATTTAAAACCCTTTAAAAATGCTCTTCATGCAGTAGAACAAAAAGTATTTTAGAATTTGGTGGTGTGGGCCCCGTTGAAAAATATTTCCAATCACCCTGGTCGTGGTCATGACCACCTTTAAATGTTTTTCAAAAGCAGTAATGTCTGACAAACAAATTTTCCGATTCTCTGGAAAACCCAACTCTTTGTGCATTCGTTTAGCGCCCTGTAACATTTTCCCATCAGTACAACCTTCATTCCACAAACCGTACACACTCCCGGCGAAACACAGATTACCCCCCATGTAATGTAAAGTCGATAAGGTGCGCTTTTTTCCGAGCAATTACCCGGCTGTACAGAACGGATTTAAATCTTCGGCGGGCACCCCCCTGCATATTCCGAACTATCGTCGCCACTAATCGGAGGCTGTCATCGGTGAGAACTTCTGTGTAGCTCTGTAGGAGGTCTGAGATATGGCTTAAAAAATCGGCAGCATTTAATTCTCCGGGGTGTCTCCTGCGTGAGAACAAGGGTTTGTTAAAACCACCCGCAGTCGAACGCAGCTGTACAAAATCATTTGCCCCAATGTTTGGAGAAAGTTCATCCAATATTCTCTGGACTGCACCATGCACAGTGTCCATAGCCTGTACATACAAGGCTATTCTGTTGAGATTAACAAAACGAAATTTAGTCATTTATCCCGGTGGGTCTTCGCCAATGAACCATGAAATAGCATTATCAGGTAATGAAATCCAGAGGTTAGAGCGGCATCCTCTTTAGAAAATACGTCTAAGAGGCTAGCACCGTAAACCTGGATCGGTTTTGGAAACACTAAATGTACACTTGCTAAAGAGGCTCTTAGATTCTCTAAACCCCGCTTTTTATCCACCTCATTAGTGCCCTCCTTTGATACTAGCTGTGCAATATACCGCACTGAGTCTCCCAAATCACTAAGCACCAAGTCTCTAATTGCGTTATTATTTCGCTCCAAAGGCTTGACACGTTTGGTTTTGGGCAGAGTAGTAACAGCCGTCTTCGATGCAGTCACCACCTTAGGGTGCGACGTTTCCCCCACATTTGTTTCGCCGCTCGTCGATACAGCTGCTGTGTGAATAAATAAGACTTTTTAATACCATGCCAATGCTCCATATCTCAAAATCAGAAAACTACACTGTGATAAAAATAAAAGACTTTTCAACACAACAATCAATGAAATCTAAATGGTCAAAATCAGAAAACTACGATAACTATGATAAAAAAGCCACACGTGGTGCATCCTTACACAAAGGGCTGCGGGTGAATGGAACAAGTTACCCAGACATGTTGTTACACCGGTTTCCTTTAAGACTGTGGTGGCGCTACTGGGTCAAGTGGCATGGTTAACGGCATATAGACCCATGGCACAGACCAGTCGCTTTTAACTTTAAAAGCTAAGCAGTTTTAAAATAAGGCTTTTTAACACTCCCAAACAGAAAACAACGTGAACTAGGATCTTTTAACGAATTGACATTCTAACAAAAGAAGTAACGGTTACCGTAAGTGGATCATAACACATCTTGACCACGCTTAAATTATATTAACCTTTGGTTGTTGATTTCAGTCGTTTTGAGCTTGATGACCCTTTTAACGTGTTAGCGCGGCGTCGCAGTTTATTTTTTGAAGGTTAGGGTTCTGCACGGAGAGGGAAAATACCATTAGTGAAAGAACTCAACACTGCAAATTACCAAAAAATAGAAAAACGGTGGTAATTTTTATTATAGACACGTTTTAACTGGGCATGCTAAAATAATGTGTTATATAGTACCCACCTCTTCGTCCAGGCGATCTGATAATATGCTCCGCACCCTCTGGTATGACGTGAACATCTGCATGTGTCTCCACAAGGTTTTGCAGTGGTATTGTAAACCCCAAATGAGGTTTTTTTTAAATGTGTAGCGACTTGTCCCTTCGTCCGTGTCTGTGGAATAGACTCATGCGTGTATTGGTGTGGAGAAAGTACTCCTGTGTCTTTAAGACTCACATGGTCGTAAAGCGTTATTCAAAACATTGTCGTAATTACTCACCAGTGTTGGGCTGCGCCGTAACTGGTCTTTTTACAGCTGTGGTTTTTGGGGCTAATGGAAATGAATGGATACACACAGTCACGACCACATTATGGAACAACTCCCTGGTAATTCCATTATAATAATTCAATATTGCCTAGTATACAAATATTATACAACGTTTTGCAACTATTGCTAACATGAGACATGCACCGTGACGTAATTTTCTCACAATAAGCCAGATATACATACAGCTGAAATTCGTGGAGTCCTCGTCTTCGTCTATCAAATCGAACAGTGTTAAGTCTGTAAATAAACTATCTTCAGACTGTTGTACAGTAATTGATCGGCATGATCCATTCTGAAGAGTTAGGCGATAACGCGAGACTGTAAGAATTGGAATCCAGCCAAATCTTTGCCTGTTACACCGCTGGTACTTATACCCCAAACCGATAAACATTCTCTTCTAAGAAACACACATGCCCCCCCATAAAACCATTAATCTTAGGTATCATTGGGCGTGCACGTACTGGTTTGTAGAAATTATTTTAAGAAACATTTTAGAAAACGTTTTAGACTGTTATAATGTTAAAATCTATATTATTTTAAGACATACAACGGTGTCTAAATTTCACAGCGGTTAAAATGTGGTGAAAATGTGCCTCGGTGTCTGTGTTTGATTCGCCAACAGACCGCTAAGAATATTATTAAGCAAAATGTTTTTATTAACGGTATAGCTATAAGAAAATGTATCTATTCTTTATATCGACGTGTTCACAAACCAAGCTTGACGTTTTGAGGTTTTACTTTTCGCGATGCGATGTTAAGAATATTTTTGCATGAAATACATGTGGTGATTATAAATTAGAAAACGTTACATGAATATAAAATGTTTATTAACTTTCCCTGAGGTCAATTTTAGCCCCCCCCCACTCTGCATTCCAGAGCTTTTAAGTACTGTGACCCCCCCCCTCCACCACCGCACGTCTCCAAAATATCTCTAATACGTGATTTTAAAACTTTAAGATCAATCCGTTAAAGTATAAAGAACAACACCCCATCATTTGTTGCCTGTCAATACCTTAAAGACTTTTACGCTTGCGGTGTGTGGAAATTTATTTCAAACTTTCGAAAAAAGCTGTCGCGAATGTGTTATTACATTATTTTAAAAACTTTAAGGCCAACCCCGCGTGTTTTAAAATTTCTTTTCTGGGCAAACATATAATTTGTGTTTGCGTTGTGTGTTAATACTTTTAAAGTTTAAAACTTATAAACTGATATGTGAATACTTTTCGCTCTTGATAAAACAATGGCGGGGGGGGGGGGGGGGTCGTTCTAAAGCAACACAACCAATTGAAAAATGTCTTGTGTTATGTAGGCATGGTTACACCATTGGCGCATATTCTTAAACGCTCCGGCTTGACAGGGTCGCAGTGCGTCCCTGGAGCTGTCAGACACCGCCTGTTGTTGGGAGCTTCTTTGTGTGGAGAAACATCGGGGTCCGCTGCTCTACAAAGTGAAGAGGTATGCGGCTAAAATATTTTTTCTGGTCGTGGAATTGTTGTATCGGCGCTTAGTGTATGTCATTTTAAGACTTGGTCTTCTTTTTAGCAAAAGCCAACCCCGCCCTCTGCCCCATGTGACAGCGGCGGGCGTGTGAGTTCAGATGGGGTACCAGATATTGAAGAACTGCCGGGTGTTAGTGATGATACCTCGCTACAAATGGTAAATATTAACGAAAAACCTTAGCTCAAAAGTGCGTTAAATGCTCGATATTTTAGGTACAAAGCATGTCTATTTTGTTAAGCCTTCCTTTTCTTTTTCCTTTAATAGAATAAAGAGGAGGTGGACAGGTCAATCTTCAGACTACCAGCACAACTGAATGTTTCGTGTCTATGCTTGTGTGTTCGGCCAAATGTTAATAAAGCTGATGCCTAACCAGGTTTAGCTAACGATGTCCCTAATGAGCCTGATGTTATGGCCCAGATTGTGAAAGCAGTAGTTAATTGCATCTTCTAACACTGTTTAAAGGGGCTCCTGGTTGATGACTGCCTGGCATGTTTGATTGACCATCCCGGTCAGCGGGGTCACACATGCCTGTCTGTCGGCTACACAGATGGGTTTGAAGATGTGACGTTTGCTGCTTTAGAAATTTATAAGTCTCTCAGTTTAGCCCGAATTTTTTTCCGAAGGGCATGTTATCGCAATGTGGGCATTAACACTTCACCAGTGGATTATCCTTTCTGGTTTGAAATAAAGTGTCAGTTTTATACATTTTTCCTTACTGTCTATGGGATCATTGTTTGGGGATGTAAATGTAAGACATATTATCAAACTTTGGTCTTCTGCTTTATTAAATTTATTGGAGTGTATTGAATAGACCTTCAATGGTGATGTGCCTTTCTGGGAAGGTGGTTCTGCCACAGACATGGTATGGAGCCTTCATGATTTGATGTGGTAAGGTGGAAACGATTGCTCTTATGTTGCCCAAGTACCAGTTGATAATTGATTCCCACCATGCATTCTGATAGACTGGGAAGTGAAGATGCCTTGCAGGTGTTCTGTATCAAAACACTACAGATTTTCTCTTAAATCAGATCAGCTTTTATTATTTTGAGTGTAGAACTACTCAGACAGCATTCAAATGCTACTTCAGCTTTCTGGCCTATTATCCTTTGTAAACACAAATTCTACACAGCACAGGGGGGAGGAAAAACCTCATTTAACTGCAAGAAAACCTCCGGGAGTTCACGGCTTGGGAGTCCAATTTTGGATCATAGATGTTTTGTGAGAAGTTCTCTAATATTAGATTCTATGTTGACTTTACCTGGTTCAGCATCTACTGGTAATTTTGGAAATCTGAATAGCTTTAGATCCCAGAAGGGTTTTGAAAGTCTTGTGTATTGTTACAGGTAATGGTGTCCATTTCTTTGTCACTGATTGCAAGCTATTCAAAGACTAAATAATGAAACCAGGCCATGCATTTTGTCAATCTTGAAAAATAGGGGACACTTATTTTAGGAAGTGCAGGGCTGATGCTGAGCTTAACAGTGCGGTAATTGGGCATTGCATGAAGGCTCTGAATCTCTGCTTTCAAATGCTCTTGGTTTAAACCTTGTAATATGCACCATTTTGGAGATATTAATGAAATATGCCATCCATTTTGTCAATATTCAAAAACATTGGCCACGCATTTTTATGGATGCAGACATGATGCTGAGTTTAAAACTGGGGATAATAGACATTAAATGAAAGCTCTGATTCTCTGCTTTCACGTGCATTTAGTTTTAAGCTTGTAATATGCAGCAGGTCTCCAAGGTAAACAGCCTCTGGCATGTTAGAACAATGTAAGTAAAGGCAGTCAGCAAGTCAGATCCATAACTTTGGGATAAGGATTGGCTCTAAGGGCTGGGTCAGTCGGGTTGGGTTGGGAAGCAGGGCTGGGCCCGAGTCTCGGCTGGACGAGGCGCTGTGTGCCATGGCCACTCTCGCGCACCCCATTCGGAGCCCTCCCTCCCCTTCTCGCGGGAAAGCCGGGGTGCCAGGGGGTCAAGCCATCGTCCACGGCAGCGAATCTGGACACAGGCCGGGCCCGTCCCGTGGATTTCCCCATCTGCGGCACTGGGCCCAGAGGGGGGAGGGGAAGGCCGGCGGGCGGCCTTGGCCAGTGCTTAGCAGCCGGCTTAGAACTGGTGAGGACCAGGGGAATTCGACTGTTTAATTAAAACAAAGCATCGTGAAGGCCCACAGTGGGTGTCAACGCGATGTGCTCGTGTCTAGTGCTCTGAATGTCAAAGTGAAGAAATTCAATGAAGCGCAGCTAAACAGCAGGAGTAACTATGACTCTCTTAGACCCCTTGGGTAAGGGGCGGAGGCGTAGTGACCTCTACCTCCTCGCGGTCCTGCCGGTAACTACACTGCTCTGCAAGAGTACGTGGAGGCTAAATAAGGTCCAAATTGCTCTACCCCTCCAGTGGGCCCGCCAACCCACCAGGCAGTATTCATGGCGAAAATTCATAATGGAAATAAATGGAAATAATGAACCATACCGGATGGCATGTCACCCGGGTCAACAAGGCACCCTGAAAGGACCGAGGGCTGGGTCCTGTCCCAGTATCACAAAGCCTCCCACAAGAACAAGAAATGGAGAATTAAGACTGGTCTCTGTGAGTACACAGACGACATATGATGACTTAGCCCAGGTCATGTTTGATAAGAGTCTAATCATCCGCCACCCCGGAGAAATATCGCCTAAAATAGCTCAAGCTATTGTGATATATGGCTCTCAATACAAGACTGTAAAGCGAATTGATGAAGCCTTAGAGATTGAAAGCTTCATACAGGAGTGTGATCTCTCCCTGATGAGCATCCTGGAGGACTATGAGTGCGACTCAATAGGATATTATGATGATGAGTCCACAACCCCTCCACAGGAAGAAAACGTAAGCAACCCAGATATCGATGAGTCACTTGAAAAACCAGCCTTCCTAAGTGACTTAACAATAAAGATGCAGATACTAAATGATGACCAGACCTGTGCCATCTGCAAAGAGAAAATTGGAAGTCCAAGGATGGCACAACACAATGAGATATCTCTGGAATTCCAATGCTCCAATTGCAATAACCTCCACTCCATCCAATGTCATCTCCCCAAGTGCAAGGTGAAGACAGACAAATCCATCAAAGAAAATGAGGGCGAATGGAAGTGTAACATCTGCAACATAAACTTCCAAACCAAATCCGGCTTGTCACAACATAAGCGACATGCCCACCCAGATACCAGAAACAGTGAACGAATCCAGGAACTAAACAAAAACAAGAACAAAGATGCCAGCTAAATATGGACAGAGGAAGAATTAACTAAACTAAAGACACTGGAATTAAACTATAAAGGGGCCAAAAACATTAACCGGCTCATTGCCCAAGAGCTTGGTACAAAGAACAATAAACAAGTGGGTGAAAAAAGACCATCAAGACACAGAAAACCCCTTGAAATTCTATCATCAAACAATAAATCAAACCCACCATCATCCAGAATGATGACAGTTAAAACCCCAACATTTGCAAAAAGAACGGGCTCCAAACTCAAAAGACTCTCTAAAGACATTGTCAACAGAGAGGAAACCGATGCGACAGTGAAAGAAGCTATCTACACTGAAAGCAAAGACCCAGAAACCATCAAACAATTACATGAAACCGCCTCTGAAAAACTACTGCAGACCCTAAAACCTGAAACAACAGATATAAGCAACAAGAAACAAAAACCCAACAAACATAAAAGGGGAAAGAATGGTCATGGACAAAAAAGAGGGCGAGAAAAAGAAGACTATATAAATATCACCAGTCTCTATATAACAAGAACAAATCAAAGCTGGCTTCCCTAATCCTTGATGGAACTGAAAATCCATCTTGCAAAATTGATATCAAGGAAATTTTAAAAGAAATGGGAAGAACACACAGCATTTTCAAACTTAAATAACTTCATATCAAAAGGGAGAGCTGACAATGAAGTCTTTGAATCGCTGATCAGCGAAGATGAAATTTAAGAGCAATAAAAAAGACCTCTGCGCCAGGTCCCGACAACATAGATTGGCACGTCATCCAAGATCTGGAAGGTGATGGAGTGACGCTATTCCAGCTGTTTAACCTATGGCTAATCACAGGGCACATCCCTAAAAAATTGAAACAGTGCAAAACAATCTTAATACCGAAGACCTCGGACGAGAAGAGTCTGGAAGACATTGGAAACTGGAGACCCATCACCATCAGGTCAATGCTCCTCAGACTCTTCTCTAGAATAATCACAAAACGCCTCAAAAGAGCTTGCCCAATAAACCAAAGACAACGAGGCTTCATCAAAGCTTCTGGCTGCTCAGAAAACCTAACAACCCTACAGTATATACTGGAAAATGCCAAGAAATCATGCAAACAAATTACAGTGGTGTTTATTGATATCGCTAAAGCATTTGAATCTGTGTCTCATGATCACATCTTCCAAGTATTGAGACAAAAAGAACTGGATAACCACATAATAGATCTAATAGAAGATTCATATCAAGGCTGTAAAACCACAATAAAAACCAAAAACCAGTCCTCACAAGAAATCTCCATTAAAGTAGGAGTTAAGGAAGGCAATCCCATGTCACCCATACTATTCAACCTTGCAATGGATCCCTTGATCAATGCCTTGGAGGAACTCGGATGCGGCTTCAAAACCGCAGCTGGAAACATCTCAATGCTGGCATTTGCGGACAACCTGGTCCTGCTGAGCAACAGCTGGGAGGGGATGAAAAGAAACATCAGCATCCTTGAAGAATTCTGCGCACAGACAGGTCTGATGGTTCAAGCCAAAAAATGCCACGGGTTCCCGATTTCACCCACCAAGGACTCATATGTCATTAACAACTGCGAGAACTGGTCAATAAATGGCAACAAACTCCATATGATAACTCCTACTGAGTCCGAAAAATACCTGGGACTCAAAATTAACCCGTGGTCAACAACAAAACTACCAGAAGCTTCTAATTTAATCCAAACATGGATTCATAAAATTGATAAAGCACCTCTGAAACCTTCACAGAAGGTAACTATCCTCAATATCCACACAATCACCAGACTGATTTATCAAATGGACCATGCGTATACCAATCAAACAACCCTCACACCCTCTATGGTATCATAAGAAAAGCAGTCAAAAGCTGGCTGCGTCTCCCTGAGTCCACATGCAATGGACTAATCTACTCCAGGACAAGAGATGGGGGACTGGGCATAATCAAGCTAGCCAACCTGATACCATCAATTCAAATCGGAAGACTGCAACGCATGGCAATGTCATCAGACTCCACTGTCAGATCGCTAATGCAAACCAATGAAATACAAGAAAAATTCCAGAAAATATGGATCCATGCTGGAGGTGAAGAAGATCAGACCCCACAGTTATCTGACCCTTCAACCTTAACAATTCCAACAGATGAAATAACATACCCAGATGGTTGGGAATCCAAAAACAAACAAAAACCAAAATACAAAACACCCTGCAACTGGCGTAAAGACGAATTTGAAAACTGGACAAAACTACCAGTCCAAGGAGCGGGGATCAACAACTTCCAAGATGACCCCGACAGCAATTCCTGGCTATCTCACAATATGGATTTCAGAGAGAGGCACTTCATTGCAGCCCTTCAACTACGAGCCAACGTATACCCCACCAGAGAATGCCTAAATACAGGCCAGAGAGGGCTCCCAACACTCTGCCGTAAATGCCAAGAGGTAACTGAAACCTGTTCCCACATACTCTGACAATGTCCAAGCGTACAAAACGCAAGGATTAAAAGGCACAACAAAATGTATGACATCCTAGCCGAAGAAGCTAAGTAGCATGATTGGGAGATCAGAAAAGAGCCACACTTCCGGCTCAAAGATACTAATGAGTTGAAGAAGACACTAATGTGGCTCTGTGGCTAAGGATCTGCGCCTGTGACTGGAAGGTTGCCGGTTCAAATCCCGCGGCCGGCAGAGGAATCCTACTCCGTTGGGCCCCTGAGCAAGGCCCTTAACCCCAACTGCTCCAGGGGCGCTGTACAATGGCTGACCCTGCGCTCTGACCCCAAGCTTCTCTCCCTGTCTGTGTGTCTGTGTCTCCATGGAGAAAAAGCTGGGGTATGCGAAAAGACAAATTCCTAATGCAAGAAATTGTATAGGGCTAATAAAGAAACATTACATTAATGAGTTGAGTTAGGTAAGGAGTGGAGACTTAGTGACCTCTACCTCCATGTGGTCCATGTGGTAACTCCACTGCTCTGCTTGAGTACGTGGAGGTCAAATGAGGTCTAAATGATCTTGCCCCTCCTGTGGGGCTGCCAACCCACTAGGTAGTACCCATGGCGAAACCTCAAAATGGAGAGTAATGTTAATGATGAACCATACCAGATGGCATCTCGCCCAGGCAAATAAGGTGCCCTGGAAGGACTTCGGGTTGGGTCCTGTTCCAGCAAAACCCTACAGGACCCCAGAGTTATCAGCAGGCTCTCCGGAAGAGAGTGACCCGGGCTGGACTATACAGAAAACATGCTCTGGATGCTCCTGTCCTGGCTAGGTTTAAACAGTACCTTATCCAGGACCTGCGTGTGGTAAACTGCTCTCAGGAGGAAGATATTTAAAACTGGGCAGAGACTCACAAAGTACATATTTTAAGTCATTAGCACAGAATTCACCCATGTGAGATTGTGTCAGCCCTAAAAATAAACCCTTGAAACTTTTTTTTAGATATGTAAGGTTTCCAGATTCCTATTTTTATGAATCAGTCTGAAGCACTCTTGATGTTTCTGAAGGACGTTTCAAAAGCGAGCAATTTTTTTTACCAACTGAAGATCATCTTCCAGAGCATCCTAAAGGACATTCAGCAAAAAAACAGCAAGGATGTCTCACAGGAAGTCATCAGAAAGAGGTATTTTCCATTTAGAACTCTGATTCCAGTTGGTTTCCGGTTCCAGTACATGACAGGAATTGATGTTGATGGTACTACTCCTTCTGCCACAGATACAGACAGCTGCAGAGTCCTGGGCCAAGCGCTAGTGACTGCTGGAAGGTGCTGAGGGCTGCAAAGAGAGATGTGGAGCGGAACTGGAGAAGACGCACACCTCTGAAGACATCACCATGCCTGAGCAGCTTCTTGTGCTGTACTACCTGCAGGCCATTCTCCATTCTCCAGCTGAAGCACCTGCATCACCTAAGAATATGACAGTAAGAATGACAGTCTTGCATATTTCAGTTGTTTGGTCCAATTCTAACAATAACACAATGATCTGACATTTATAAAGAGACAGAATAACAGTTCTGGTCAGGGCTCATCACTGTCATTTAGGTGGCGCTCCCGTTACTTAGGGCCTTTACAGGGAGACTGGACTGGAGGGAGGGGTGAGGGAGAAGATGCTCTCAGCTCTGTGTTCAGTCAAGCAGATTGAACACACTGGAGAGCGGAAGTGTGAGAGTGGAATTTGATCTCCACCCCAACTTCTCTTCAGTAACTCCATATGGAACAAGAGTTAATGAATGGCAAGCATCAGGTTCAAACAGCCTCAGTAGCACTAAATTGTAATGATTCATGATGACACCTCCTCATGATATATGTAAGCCCCTTCTCTCCTTCACATTCATCTTTTGCACCTCTCTTCCACACCATCCTCTACTTGTGAGTCCTCATTGGGATCCCAGCAGCCTCGTCCTACAGAAGCTTAGCACCCAGCCAAGTGGGTCAGACTGACTGACTTAAACACTCAACACTCTCCATATACTTAATTACTGGGTGCTGCTGTTGCTACTGTAAAATGATCATTGGCAGTTTTGAATCGGATATTATTTATTGAATTGCTTGTGATTTCAAGTCCAGTAATGGATGCAGAGAAAGAATTTTGTGTCACAAAGAGGGAAAAAACTGGCGAAAATAGCAGTGACAAAGCACACAACCTCCTCACAGCAGCTGCCATGCTTTGCCTGAATGAAGAAGAGGAACATGTAAGTCTAGTTACGCTGATATACTCTCTCCAGTTCATTGCCAACATCTGTCTTCGGCATTCAACAATAGTTGAAAAGTACAATAACTGCATTTTGTCTGTTTTTTCAGATGTTTCACCTTTACTTCACTAAAATACACTGTACTGCCACTGATAGCATCGGTGGAACAGAGACTGAAATTGTTTTCATTTCTTCTGTGGGGGAGCCAATTTATAATCCTTCCAACGACTTGCAAAGACTGCATGAGAAGTAAACTAAATCACAAAGTTGTTTTAATGTATTAATTGAACTGTCTGTGGCTTGGAAACAATAATATACTGTGTGTATGTGTTTGTTTTGTAGATACCATCTTCCACTCACCACCAGCCAGGCTGCCAGGAGGGCATTTGAGACGGCCACAGAGAGGCTCACAGATGCACAAGAGAGCATCGTGGCGGTTTATCTGGCCCACTCAGATGGTACTGCAGAGAAACACTAGAGCAGTAGTTCTCAAACTTTTTGGACCAAGTACCACCCCTAATCCAACCAAAGCATCCAAGTACCACCTACAAGTCATCATCTCATAGGAACCCTAGAAATTCTCAATGACCAACATGAACGCATGTGCACACACACTCACACATACATATAATAAATATTATAATAATAAACTTTGTTTGATATATTAAAATGTGGCTTCTCAAAGTGTTTTTCAGAAAAAAACCCAACAGCAAATAAAAATAAAAAAGCACAATTTCAGTGAGAGGGGTGAGCCTGTTTAGTCGAGCAAAGCAGACGTGAATTAATTTTTCGAGCCTTGATACAATTCACAACGGTCTTAACAGATTTTAAATCGTCAGGCATTTTCTTGACGACAAAGGTCTTGAGGTGGATGTTGCAATGAAACCATTAATTTTTGGAGCAACCTCTCTAATTCTGCAAGTACACCGCTGTGTCGGCTTGTCATTGCTCTAGCACCGTCTGTACAAACTCCGACACTTTTTATCCAGTCGATGCCATTCTCTTCGATAAATTCATTCAGAAGCTGAAATATGTGCTCTCCTGTAGTTCCTGTTGGTAGCAGCTTACAGAACAGAAAGTCCTCACGGGACGTACCCTCAAACTCGTATCTAACGTAAACGAGCAAATTGGCCAAATCTACTACAGACTCATCTAATTGCAGTGAAAAACATCTGCTCATCTTAAAGCGCTCTATCAATGTACTTTTAATATCTTCCGCCATTTCAATAATTCTATGAGTGACTGTGTCTTTCAGGGGGGGCAGCAGGTCGAGTTGTTTAGCAGCTTTTTCTCCACACATAAAATGTGTCAGCTCTTTTGCCAACGGTAAATAAGGTTCTTCAAAAATAGTTTGGGGCTTACCTGCTTTAGCAATGCGCAAGCTTGCATTTTTCTGCGTTTCCGTATTTATTTTAAGTTTTTATCTCATGCGCATGGGAGCGAAACACAGAGACACTTGGTGTATTTTTCTCAAATTAACCTAGAACAGTTCTTAAGTACTTTTCTGTTATCTATCACGCTTTCCTGTGCTCACAAGATTACCAGCATTCACAGCGCGTATTTCTATTCATTCCTGTGTTTTCAACATTGGCATTGTTCCAAAATCACGCAAATTCTCCTACCTCCCTATATGCTGGAGATGAGTTTTGTTTTAAATACAATTGGTCACTTACATTCATAGCATGCATTCCTATAAAGTGGTATAGAATTACATAGTATCTTTTGTGTCCACTGAAGTATTAGCATGCGCTGTATCGTAGTACGTAGGCTGCGTATTTGACACGTATTAAAACAGAAAATATGAAAACCCATCTCGATTTTTCAGGACACACAAAACAGTTCCAGGGTCATATGGCGTACCAGCTGGCGGCGCTCCACGTACTACTGCTGGTACGTGTACCAAAGTTTGAGAACCACTGCACTAGAGGATGCTGACACATGACAACATCTGCTTAGCCATTGAAGTCATTGAAGGTGTTGCAGAGGAGGGAGCTCAGTAAGTGTCACCATGTTCTGAATAAATGACAAAATATTCTTGTGTCAAAAACAGCGATTACTTCATGCTTTTGAAACATCAAGAGAGCAATCGCCACTCAGTGCTGCAGGATGCACATCTACTGTGTTACTGGAAGAGGAAACACCACTTTCAGTTCTTTTCAGCCAACATGTTACAGAGATTATTGTGATCTAATATTCGCTTTTACATCAGATCAACACCAACATCCACTGTGGCAGCTGCAGGATCTGGAAATCTGGAAGACAGATGATGCCACAGCCTTCCAGGAGCTGACACAGGAGTTTCCAGTGTCGTTAGATGCGCAGCTTTCCAGAAAGAAAGAGCGCCTGAGACTGACTGGAAGTCATGACTGACACAGTTACGACAGGTGGAGATCAGATCAGATCAGAGGAAGATGAGACTGCAGAACATTATTGGTAAGTTTACACATCAATTATTTTCACTGAGAAACAGACAAAGTGAATTTGGAATCAATTCTGAGGGTTTCTGTTCTGGTTTTCATTCCAGATCATTATGCTAGACGGTTACCAACAGAAGGCCAGGTGACCCGCTATTTTCAAAACATGGGCTGGACTGCAAATACACCAACAGCGTCTGAAGTGCTTGAGAAGTGGAAGCCCACACAGATGCACAACCAAATGAAAGGCAAATTAAAAAGATGGAAAGCGTCAAACCTGGAGAGGCCTGAGTATCACTGACGATCCAGAGGTGGTGTGTGAATACCATGGTGAGGTCATCGCAAAGACAGCTGCAGAAGCCCTAAAGGCACAGATGGCAGAGGGAGAGATGAGATGTCTGTTCTTTTTTGATGGACCTACACAAAAAATGTGCATTTATGTATGTGAAGAACATTGCACCTGTCACACGGAAAAGGAGATGATCGGAAGGCGGATAAATTCCTCTAAGAAAAAAGACAACATCAGGGCTGTTAGAGAGTCATTCAGGGTGAAGGACAGTCTCTGGAGTGGTTGGATAACTGACCAGTTCCAGAAAATACTTTGAACATACCTGTATATGTTGAACATATTTTCTTTTAACTATTAAAGATAGTGTCTTCTTGTGACTTGAAATCCATCTCAGTATTGCTTGTGTCATTGTTTTGAAGATGACATGTCTCGTTCTCCAACAGCTAGGACACCAGGAGGGGATAAGAGACAGTAGAAAAGTAGATAAATTAAGCTCAGAAGAGCATAGATTAGCCACCCCACTCAAATATTCCCAAGACAAAACACTACGCGACATCTGTCCAGCTCTTGTTCTTATTGAATGTTTTGGAATTAAGAGGTCTAATTGTCACCACTTTTGAAAATCTGTTGACTTTTTCAGAAGAGTGATCACTCACTCATAGTTTTCAAATTAGTTCATGATCAGTGGAGCAATGCAAAGAATCTTTTTCAGAGTAAGACATCAGCTTTTGGGTCAGTTTAAATTGAACAAACTCTCAAATCATTTTGAGATGATGTGTTACAGTAATTATTGATTTATGGAGTTATTGTTTACAGACAAAGGCGATATTCATTGTCAGAAGACGGATGATGGCCAAGCATTCCCAGAACGAACACTGGAGATTCCAGCAGCATTAGACGGGCAAACCGCTTGGGAAGAGACATCGCCTGAGACAGACTGGACTTCATGAACGACACCAAGAACAGAGCCTACAAGATGAGTCTAGATAACAATTCCTTAATCGTTTTAGTGAATGTTTCTGAAAAGGCTAAGGACTACAGCAATTGTTTTTGGACTACAGATATTTCAAAACTTCATTAAGAAGTTAGACATTTGATAAAAAGACATTTTAAATGGCTTATCTTTACAAGAATATTTTAGAACTTTGATTGCAGTTCAATAGATGCCGTAGACCTAATCCACAATGTCTGCATTTTATTTTAATTTTAGCCATAAACTGTTGTAAATAGTTTAATTGAAAAAAATATTAATTCAGAACACACAGTTGATTTTGAAATTGTGAGGCAATTATCAACTATAGTGGCTCGTATCTATGACTGAGCTGTGATTTCTGTTTAACAGAGACCTGTCTGTTACACAAAGGACATTTTTCACTTTAACAGGTGTCACTTCCCAGCAGAACAAGTGTCTGGAACAAGTGTCTCCAGATAATCAGTTAAGCATCCTAAAACAATTGTTGATTGTAAATTTGACAAGATTGTCGTAATGTAAAAGCTATAGTAAAGTGTAAAGTATAGATTTGTTGAATTCTTTTGTTTTTGTCTTCAACACCATCATATGCAGATGTTTATGTTACTTTTTT